TCTTCATGCTGATTCGGATTGTAATCTATAATCCTCTTCCTTTTAGATGGATCCCTTAGAAGCTTCTCCAAGTCAACTAGTTTGGGCATCATCGAAGTTGTTGATTCCTGAAAAACCTCTCCATTAGTTGTCCACTTGTCCTGTAATATTAAGTGCCAAAAAATTTGTTTGAACTGATCTAATCAGACAAATTAATAAATTATACACATGAGTTAAGAAGACTAAGATGGTTTTTAACACAGAAGCAAATAAGCAAAATGTTTGAAGGAAAAAGTTCTAGAGATTTACCTTGATGTCAACTGAAGTTAGGGAATTGGAGGACTGGAGAGATGAGATAACTGTCACCGTCGCCGTGCCGCGGCAGTGCCAGTGTGCCACTGCAACGTCGCCGGCCAGGAACACGAGCAGCAAGGGACGGACTATGGGGAGTCGACAATTCACGATTGCCGTCGGCGCCGCAGCGAGCCGGTGATTGCACGGCGGTTTGAGATTGAGGTGACAGGCGAGGGCTTTCCTTCCTTCCAGTCTCGTGCGGGGCTGCTGCGTCCATATTTTTTCTTAGGTTGCATATACGTGCGTAGGCAGGGTTCAGAGTTATGCTACGAGCTGTGGCCTTTTACTGGGCTGTTTTTGTTACGATTGGGCTTCTAAAAATATCCAACTAATTAGGCTTAGTGGGGGCAGGTCATTAGGCTTAGTGGGGCACTAATGAATCATCTGGTAGCACTATAACTAGATGCAAAAAATCAAGTGGGGGCAGCTGCCCCCACGCTCCTAACGTAGGTCCGCCCCTGGTAGAACACATTGAACGGACAGAATAAAAGCCCCACCGACAACTGAAACAGTAGATTCAGTATTTTGAGAACCAACATGAAGCAGAGCTGTCATATTTTGTTCCACATATATGGTTTGTGTTTCTTACCAGTATGAGGCCCCCGGGCACGGCATTGGAGTAGGACGCACCGGCATTCCTAAGGAAGAGGTTGATGACCAGCACGGCAACCACGGTGCACATGATGGAGGCGGACATGAGGAAGGCATCCCGGTGCGTGAGAGCGGTGTTGGGGGCGAAGTCGAATATGAAGTTCTGGTTGATCCTGGTGCTCTTCCACATGAACAGGTTGCACCCGTAGAGGAAGCAGTGCAGGCTGATGAGCGCGAACATGCTGCAGAGGAGTAAAGGAACTAATGAACTAATGGAAGATTGTCTTTATTAACTACTTGCTCAACTATAATGGACGAAAGATGACCTAATCTTTGATGCCATCTTGCTAAAGAAGGCTTGACGACGGAGTGAACTTGACGACGACGCTTACGACTAAAAGCTCCGGATGTGATGGGGTAGAGACCTCCAATGCATCTACCGTGATGGAGGAGCTCCCTCGTTGCTCGATCCTTAATGAGAAAATATTCAGGATGAGTCTCAAAGAAGACATCGTTATCATATGTTAAACGAGACATGGAAGCAAGATTTTTATTAGCTTGTGGGACATGAAGCACATCTTTTAGAAAAAGATCACGTTTAGAAGTAGGGGAATTAATGAAAGCTTGACCAATATGATGTATATCCATACCTCCACCGTTTGCAGTAGTGTTCACTTGATCATTGCCGTAGTAGCGTTCACGAGTTGCGAGTTTCTCAAGCTCACTAGTAATGTGATCGGTTGCTCCAGAATCAGCATACCAAACGGTCTCTCTTTCTTGTTCCCTTAGTGCAGTCAAAACATGACGTTCTTCTGGTACATAGTTCTCATCATATCTATGCCAACAGTCCAGAACCTCATGTCCGGGTTTCTTGCAAAGCTGACACCTTGGACGTGGCCGACCACCATTGTTGTTGGAGGGGCGCGAGCCATTGTTGTTGGCCGCCCACGCCCGCCATTGTTGCTGCTCCAACGGCCACGCCCTTGCTGACCTTGGTGACCACGACCTCGACCACCATTGTCGCGGCCACGAGTCAGAGCATTTGCTGAAGATTGACGAAGATTATTTTCTTGTAGCAGACTCATGCGAGCTTCAAAGCTAAGCAACTGGTTGTAGAGCTCGGTGACGGTGACAGGCTCGACGCGGGCGGAAAGGCTCGGCTGCAGAAGATCCGGGCTCATCAACCAAAGCTGACCCGCTACCCTGCTGCTCCAGATCCGAGGCAGCCAGCTCTCTCGAGAAGGTGCGCCTCGCGTCGGAAGAGCCAACAAGCGGGCTCCACGTGGTAGCGTCAGGAGAGGCCCGCTCGGGTGTGAGGCAGTGGGTACTGTTGATGGGCCCCATAGATGTCGGCCTGTCGCCCACAGCACCGGCCCGCCCACGCGTGGCAGTTGGTGGATCATGGAGGCCCCCCGCACTACAAGGGCTGGTGGATTCTCCTGTAGGCGCTGTCGCTGCACGCGTCGGGAGATCCTCCTCGGATCGCGCGCTGCTGGAGGATGCGCAGTTCTGCAGCAAATCACCATGGATTTCAGCGCCCGTTTTGTCCACATCTGCACACATAAAATCACATCCAGAAACTGCATTTTTCCGATAAGAACCTGTATTTTCTTGTAACATATCATGATCAGTTTCAATTAATTCACCCCCGTGATCAGGAGAAGTCAAAGGCTCAGAAAGAAGTGATATTTCTTCACGAAGAAGAGCGCCTGCATTAGGATGGAGTTGAGCAAAAGGAAACATGGTTTCATCAAAAACAACATCACGAGAAATATAGATGCGGCCTGTTGAGACATCTAGGCATTTGTAACCTTTATGGAGATTACTGTATCCAAAGAAAACACATTGAGTAGACCGAAACTCAAGTTTGTGACGATTATAAGGACGAAGATTGGGATAACAAAGCCCACCCAAATATTTTGAGAGATGTGTAATATGGTTTTTGATGAAACAGGCGCTCTAAAGGAGTTGAATTTCCAATGACTTTGCTAGGAAGGCGATTGATAAGATATGTGGCAGCAATAAAAGCCTCGTCCCAATATTTAAGGAGCATAGAAGCATGAGCAAGTAGAGATAATCCTACTTCGACAATGTGACGGTGTTTGCGTTCTGCAGAACCATTTTGCTGATGTGCATGAGGGCAAGATACATGATGCTCTATGCCTACACTGCGAAAGAATGAGTTGAGTTTCTCATACTCACCACCCCAGTCACTTTGGACTGCAATGATTTTCCTGTCAAAGTGACGTTCAACAAGTTTTTGAAATTCTTGAAAGATAGCAAAAACTTCAGATTTGTGTTTAAGCAAATATATCCAAGTG